GAAGGCGAGAGGGAGGAAGGAAGGGAGTAAGAGAGGAGGAGAGCTAGAGAGGGAAGGCAAGAAGGAGAGGGAGAGAGAAAAAAAGTGGGAGAGGAGAGAGAGAGATATATATATATATATATATATATATATATATATATATATATATATATATATATATATATATATATACATACATATATATATATAATATATATATATATATATATATATATATATATATATATATATATATATATATATATATATATATAGAGAGAGAGAGAGAGAGAGAGAGAGAAGAGAGAGAGAGAGAGGGAAGTAGGTAGGGAGGAAGGGAGGCGAGAGGGATGAAGGAACGGAGTAAGAGAGGAGGAGAGCTAGAGAGGGAAGGCAAGAAGGAGAGGGAGAGGGATATGTATATATATATATATATATATATATATATATATAATATATATATATATATATTATATATATATATATATATATATATATATATATATATATATATATATATTGAGAGAGAGAGAGAGAGAGAGAGAGAGAGAGAGAGAGAGGGGGGTGAAGTAGGTAGGGAGGGAATGGGAATGGGAATGGGAGAGGGCGTAGGAGAGGGATAGAGAGAGGGAGACGAAGGGAGGGAGAGGGGGAAGGAGGGTAGGGAGAGAGAAAGGGAGTGTATAGAGAAAGAAAGGGAGGGGAGAGCGAGCGAGGGAGTGGGAGAGGGATAGAGGGAGAGGAAGGAAGGGAGAGGGGGAAGGAGGATAGGGAGTGGGAAAGGGAGTGTAGAGAGAGGGAGGGGGAGGGGGTGAATGAGGGGAGGGAGGGGAGGAGGGGAGGGGAGGAGGGGAGGGGGAGGGAGCAAGGGGGAGGGAAGGAGATAGATAGATAAAGAGAGGGAGAGAGGGAGGGAGGGAGGAGAGAGAGAGAGAGAGAGAGAGAGAGAGAGAGAGAGAGAGAGAGAGAGAGAGAGAGAGAGAGAGAGAGAGAGAGAGAGAGAGGGAGGGAGGGAGGGAGGGGGCGAGTGGGGGGGGGAGGGGGAGGGGGGAGCAAGGGGGAGGAGCAGATAGATAGATAGATAGATAGAGAGAGAGAGAGAGAGAGAGAGAGAGAGAGAGAGAGAGAGAGAGAGAGAGAGAGAGAGAGAGAGAGAGAGAGAGAGAGAGAGAGAGAGAGAGAGAGAGAGAGAGAGAGAGAGAGAGAGAGAGAGAGAGAGAGAGAGAGAGAGAGAGAGAGAGAGAGAGAAAAAATACCAAGCATCAGATATAGAGGATGGCATACGAAAAGGTCAATGAGAATGTTGAGATGAAAAACAGTTGAACTTGGAAAGGATGAATGTAATGAAAACATGACAAGTCAGAAGGCTAAAAGCTGACCAGGAAACCAGGAGGCAGAGGAAAGCCGGTATAGTATAGTAAGGACCAAAGAGAAGCAAGATGATAAAAACACTCGCATAATCCTGTGTTTGGAAACATTAGTAGATGCGTCAAAAGTTTATGATTGTGATATAAAATTCTTTATCGTGAAGGGACTAATTATTAGATATTTTATGGCCATGATTGGGCAAAGTAATATGTTAAGCAGTAATATACATTGTGATTACATGCGCATCATGGCATGGATAATATTTTATATGTACTCAGCAGGTAATCAAGGCCATAAAAGTGCAATTTACATTGATTAACCACTGATATTCCGATTACCTGTCTCGTTATTCATTATACATGCAATTCTTGCTTTGATAACCCGGTTCAGCTCCCCTGAACGCCAACGCCCTAGGGGGGAAGTGAAGGTGAGATGCGAAAGAGTGAAGAGGGAGGGGAAGTGAGAAATAGCAATGGTTGTAATTGTAGTTAACATAGTTATAGTAGTAGTAATAATAGCAATGGCAGCGACAATTATTGCAGTAGTGGTAGCTCTGGCAATCATACCAGCAGTAACAGTATTTGGAGTAACACAAGAGTGACAATATTGATAGCAAATGAAAAGATAAAATAAGTGGATAAGAAGAGCGAAAAAAGAGGAAATAGAAAGTACGACTATAACACTGTTTTACGGGATATACGGGATAAGGTCATTTATAGAGTAAAGAAATGTGATACGTGAAATTATTCAGCAAGCAGGGAGATGAGATGTGAGGATTAATAAATGCTGATTACTGGTGAAGAAAGCATGGGGTTTCACTGAAGTTTATGTAAGGTTCTCATTTCGACGTCGTTATCAAAGAAATTCTCACCAGGGTGTTGCTGAGGTGCTAAAGGAGGGTGGAGAAGGGAACCAACACCTGGAACACCGAGTCCGCCTTGTAAGCCAGCTAGCGCTGCCATCTGGGTCTGTAGATTCTGTTGGAGGTTATGGAAGTTCTGGAGATTGTGCAAGTTGTGTAGGTTGTGTAGACCATGTAGGGCGTGGTGCAAGGTGGCCAAACCACTGACTGGACTGGAACCGCCATGTCCGGGAGCCATGGTAGGCGCGGGAGAAGCAGCTGTAGGTGGGGACGGTGGCGGCGAGACACCTCCTATTGAAAGCAAGAAAACAAATAATATGCGAATATAGCTATTCATCGTATCAGAACGGATCCTTTCCTTCACTAAATGGTGATGCATTATATAGAAAGCACAGGATATGATTGAACTTAATTGGAATCCCCTTAAAACTAAGGGATCATTTTTATCCACGAAAAGGTGAAACCAGAAATGCAGATGTAGCTTACGCGAGTATTCTTCTTAAATATAATTAAATTACAACAGTCGATTTGCCTATTAAAATTCACCAAGATAAACGGCTAATTGGCTTTATCAACACATCCCATGGCTTTGATATAGCAACAAGACAAAACGATTTTTTATGGGTTTAGCTTGTAAATAACAAAAAGGCGAGAAAAAACTTTTTTGTTACGTTTACAAACTGAATACTGAAGAGGATGAGAAAAAACACGATGGAAATGGGCACGACTTGATAAAAATGTACTCTCATTATTGATCCTTGAACTTGGGTTTTTGAATCTTGTCTGTGATTAAATTTTATTGGTGAAGGAGTGATTCAAATTACAAAATGTAGGCTCTAAAACCGTTAGAGATAGGACTATTCCAGAAGCGGGAAGAGTTTGCATACTATTAATCGACTGACTTAGCCTTCATTCAGTAAAAGTTAGGTTAAACTGTCCTTCTCTAGGCCCGGGCCCATAGCTATTTTCGGCCGCCAAGCTAAGCGTAGTGTTTCAACTGGGGAAAGAAACTCCGCACCAGTCAGAGCAAATCTCCGCTTTGAATATGCGGCAGCATGGAGTGCAAGGACAGTCTTTCTTATTTCGCCGTACTTCATGTATTATGGCTTTTGTTTTTTGAGAGAAATTAAGACAAATTAAGAACATGGAGTGCTGTTTTTATCTTTTCTTGCATCTTTTGAATTTTCACATTGCGGAAGAAAGCTGACAGAGGCAATTGCTGCAGACCATCGTTTGTATTAACATTTTTCATTTATTTGAAATGATTTTGCTGCTCGCCTGATGTTTGTATGATAACTAATTATTCGTAAAACAAATCAGATATTAAATTATTATTTTATATCTTAAAGAATGCTAATTTCTATAAGAGAGACTAACATTTCTGCTAAGTACAAACAGAAGCAACTAGTACAATATCCAGTCATTACAGTAAAACTTAAACTTACAAATTGATTATTTGTCTGTGGGTGTAATTATCACTCCTTTTAGTAAAGTTGTAATGACAGTGATGATTTTGTTGTGTTCATATAAATGTATGTGTATATATAACGCCGTATGGACTGATTTGTATAACTACATGCATATGCATATATACAAACATAAAAAACTCGATTGTATTTATAAGTACTTACAAGTGTGTGTGTGTGTGTGTGTGTGTGTGTGTGTGTGTGTGTGTGTGTGTGTGTGTGTGTGTGTGTGTGTGTGTGTGTGCGTGCGCGCGCGTGTATGCAACTATACAGAAAACTATCGTGTCGAAACATTCAGTAGCGAATAGAATCATATATTACGAAACGGTTGGTATTTGTGGTTTGAATTTGTCTCTTTCTGATTCATGTCTCGAATAGTCGTTCCGAAATTCATATGGATTCCCTGTGAGATGATGATATAATTCCCGTAAGGGATCGATTGTGAATTACAATATTCAGATAAGCCACACATACCCAAAAGTAGTTCGAAAATCAAGGATACCAACAGTTTCGTTGCGTTAACTACACACACACACACACACACACACACACACACACACACACACACACACACACACACACATATATATATATATATATATATATATATATATATATATATATATATAAACATCGTTGCTGCTGTCAGAATGTTTAGCATGATTCTCTGGAGATATTTTCTGTATACCTGTACATGCATATTATATACAAGTACAGTTGTGGACACATAACACAGCCCACACACACAGGTGCTGGGTCGTTTCTGGTTGACAGGTTTCCGTGAGGGGAGTCATTATTTTAAGAAGGTAAAATCCGAATCGAATGTTATATTAGGTGTAGATGTAAATCGTAATGTTTTCTTATCTGATTTATAGTCTATGAGAGGCTTCCTTATGGAATTTATGAAAAGCACATTACCCAATTGTTTGATGGGTTATTTATGCTGGCGATTTGTAAAAAGTCCGGATTGGGAACTCGGGTTACATAGAGTGATCCCTTAAATATCAAGATTTACAGAGATAATTTGGTTAGAAATAGCAGAGAGGTTGTCATAGATAGCGTTAAGGACGATTGTTTATTAAGCATATTCCAGGTCGATATCCATGTTTGTAAAATATTACACTTAAAAACATCAAATCTCATGTATCTCTTTCTCCCCCTCCCCCCCCCCCCCCCCTCTCTCTCTCTCTCTCTCTCTCTCTCTCTCTCTCTCTCTCTCTCTCTCTCTCTCTCTCTCTCATACCTAGAGTGAACTATATAAGTAAATAAAAGAACGTCCTTAACAACCAAGTAAGTGTCATTAAAGATTACTAAACAAGCAACTATGGCTTAAAAGACTAGTTCTTCTACTTAAGAAGAAAGGGAGAACATTGTGGCTACCCAAACTCCTCGAATTTGAATTTTAGAAGTAACATGTATGATGTCTTTTTTTCTTGTCTTACGGAATATGCAATAAAAGCTATGCCTTGGAAATTCAAACATATATATATATATATATATATATATATATATATATATATATATATATATATATATATATATATATTTCTGCTTGAAATAACTGTCAGCATATTTCTCACCTATACAAATACAATAAATTGAGTACTGTAAACCTTCCAGTGCCGAGTCTGCCGACATGAGGTGTGAAAGGCTGAGGAATGAGAAGAAATCATCGAAATGAATAATAAAATCAGCTATGAAATTGCACCCCTTAAAACGAGATTTTATTTATACATATGTGTGTGCGTGTATATATATATAATATATATATATATATATATATATATATATATATATATTATATATATATATTTCCCCACCATTCAAATTGCACTTGTTAGTCTGGCTGTGTGACGGTGTAGACTGCAGTCATTTAAAATAAACTGGTGATGCAGTGTATTCTGCGGTACAGACATATTAGTGATGATGTGGAAGGTGTAGCAGTCATTCCTGCCAAGATCTCTCTTCGTCTGTCAATGTGACTGGACGTAATTATACCATGGAGTAGGGTGGGAAGGGAGGGCATAGTTCTGCACGTATTGAACATGTGTAATTAGTTATATCACAATTAAATAAGACCTTGATTTGCCAGGAATTACTTCATCCGTATAAGTTAATATTCATCCCACCTACTGAACATGTAATATGGGTAATATTGCTCAAATTACTCTACTTTTGTTCGCTACCCCAAATTCTCGGCCCATCCTCCTCTACCCTGTCACCTCTCTCCTCTACCGCCAAGGCGTCCCATGATTGCCCCCTTCACCTATCTGCTCCTACCCTCCCACAATGAAACCTTCCAACCAGAAACGACCTACCACCTGTGTGCCAGTGTCCTGTGTCCGAAAGTCAACATACATATAAATGTGTATACATATCTATGAACATATATTACACACACACACACACTCACACACACACACACACACACACACACACACACACACACACACACACACACACACACACACACACACACACACACACACATATATATATATATATATATATATATATATATATATATATATATATGTATACACACATATATTGTTTTTTGTTCATTGATATATATATATATATATATATATATATATATAATATATTACATATATATTCATATATATATTTATATGTGTATTCATATATTTATTCATACATATGCTTATATGTTTATTGATATGTATTTATGTACTTATGTATTTATTATGTTTATCTATATATAAATAATCACACATTTTGTATAATGAATCATTTTCTGATACCTGATACACCACAAATAATATAAATAGCGTAATAAAACTTCCAATAGCATTATAACAGCTTGAAGATATTTATGATATTTCTAACGATATTTGAGACAACAGCCTTTATTTGTATCCTGGAAAACCTGATGAATCCCCGGGCGAAAAACGGGCTGCGTCTGGTTATCTCTGGCTCCCCTCAGTTCCCAGATTTCGCACCTGAATGCTACGATCTGGCCCAGGCGCACGCTTGGACGCAGGCGTATGCAAGGCCGGTTGAACCGTCCCATAAAAAAGATATTTGATCAATAATGAAAGTGCCTAATAATATAATGTGAGAAATCGGCATTTTCTTCCGTCGTGACTCCTAAACTCAACAGTCATGATATCTTCACACTGACTGGTACATTAGAATTACAGCCTGCGGCATTTTATCATCGCAATCATCTTCATATCGAAATGTAAAGATAGGAAATGCTTTACAATGGAAACCTTGATGATTCCAGTAAGAACGGGCAGTATGTGATAGATAATGTGATGTTTAGGCAATATAACACTATCGCGGAGCCTAATCCAACTTCTCCCCCTCTATTCTTTCTTTCTCCCTCCCCCTTTTTTATTCTCTCTTCCCCTCCCCCTCCCTCCCTTCATTCGCTCCCTCATCTCCTTCTCCCTTTCTCTCTCTCTCTCTCTCTCTCTCTCTCTCTCTCTCTCTCTCTCTCTCTCTCTCTCTCTCTCTCTCTCTCTCTCTCTCTCTCTCTCTAGGTAAGTTGGTTCCTACACACACACACACACATACCAATTAATGTTCTTTACTATCATGTGATTTATATTACAATAAAGCTTTGCCACGAAGCATAAAATCTGGTGTTCCGACATGAAAGAAATATCGTAAAACGATTCATCTACATTAAAATTCTTAATAATCTTTGCATGAAAATCAAAGCTAATTAATTGTAATCCTTGACCGAACGAGTTAGTCATCTGCATAGCATTAATTAAGACCTCGTTTTCCCCGTGCAAATATTCCCCTTTACCAGCAAACAGTCCCTTTATTCGTTACCTATAAAACGCAGACGTT